CATTATATTAATTATTATTATAATTAATTAAATTATAACCAATCAAGTCTGACATCAGTGCAAAAAAACTGAAATTATTATACACTTGAGTTCGAAACAAAATATTCTAGATGTGTTGGAGGTGAGCGACATGACCAAAATTATATATTATGGTATGAGTAATTTTATTTCATGTTAACAGTATGTTAAAAGTATGTTAGTATGATTATTTTTGCAGTAAATACAAAAAATATATATATTTTTATTTCTCTCACTTCCCTCATTCTCTTCATTATTTCATTTTATCATTTTGTTATGGTTATCATGGTATGAGTAATTTTAAATCATGTCCACAGTATAAATATCACAAATTGGTTATCTGAACTGTACTGATGGCCCCAGTTCTCATTCACTACCATTATATAGAAAAGAGTGGTTGGATATTCTTCGGAAGTCACTTTTCTGACAGAATTTTCATGTTTGCCTGAACTATTCCTTTAAGTGAATAGTATGTTGCTGTGGATATTTGCTGACTGCACTTGTTGTCTGTTGTTTTTACACTGATTTTGAGCTACTGATTTTAAAAAAAGGAAAGTCAACGGAGTTTGATAGACATTGATGTTTACGTATGTGATGTTAACTGGATTTTTAAGAAGAAAAAAAATGCATGAAATTGGAGAAGAGGGATAGACAAAGGCCTTAATGATGAGGTACTGAGTCGAGCACTGCTGGCTAATGAGTTATTCTCTTTGAAATAAAAAGGATGGCTCAGTGTCTGGATCCCTCCGACCTGCAGGTAAACCGGGGGAAAAAGGCTCACTCTTATTATTTGGTTTGAAGAAATATAAATATATATATATATATATATATATAGACCTATATTAATTGTAAAAAAGTATACAGTCTTAAAGAAACTATGCCAACGAATGCCTTGTACTATATGGCACTGCCGATGTTAGATTATTTTGCAAAACTTTGGTCACTGTAAAATCCTGGATTTCCACAGTTTCAAATGTGAATCACAAGCATCATCCAGCATTATTTATTTTGCGTTCCGATGTAATTACGTTTTGGGAACATTTCCGTCACCCGGCGCTTTTCGGTTTACTGATCTTTTTCTATTTATAAATGTAATTTTGATGGGCAGTAAAATCAGAAGTGTCTTAACGTTTTAAATGGAAAATGTGCTTTAACGGTTGCCTAAAAAAGTGCTGTATGTCAAGCAACTCATGCTACGAGCTTCACAATTAATGTTGTATGCAATTTTTACTATCATGCAAATAAGCTTAGGAAAATGACTAACCTATAGAGACCAACATATGCAATTTGTGTGAAATCGATGTTTGCAATGTGTCTTCCTTTGGTTAACAATTCAAAGCTATTCCTGTATAAATACGATGTATAAAAAAGTGGTTCTTTTTTTATGAGTTTATTGCAATGAGAACACCAGTTATTTTGTTACGACTGGCTGTTTTATAAGTGTTTCTCAGTTTCTTTATGCAGAAATGTTCTAACTAGGAGTGGTTACTGATTGTTAATGACACAATTAAACCGTTTGTATTGTACTCTGAATCTTTGTGTTAATGTGCATTAAAGAATATCCACAGCACAGGCCGAGTCAGACGAGCGCTTCTTCTATGAGGAATAAACTCCCGGGTGGAAGGTGGGATGAAGTCGTATTAGAAGCATGTTTAAGGGTAAATAGAGTCAGGTGTTAATGAGTCGATCTGCGGGGATTGGAGGTGTAAAGCTGAGAAGGTGCTTTGACTTCCCGATGAACTCTGAGAAGCGTATGGAAATCTGTCTCGCCCGTATGGAGGTAAATCATCAATGACCTCTGTGATCCCGGATTGCCTGAAAACATCACTGTGTTGTTTGCAGGCATTTTTAGAGATGATGGAAGGAGAAATAGCATACTTTGTTTACTCGGACTTCAGGATGAGGGTAAGTTTAAATGGAAATAGCTCTAAATTCAACATACAGTACAGTAAATGACTTGTGTTGCTTTTCTTAGAAACTGTATATGCATATACATGTGTCAGGAGATGAAGGCGAGTATGTACATAACTGTAATATATGGAACAGGAAAAATACACAATTTTGCAGTTGTGTGAATTGTTTGCTAAACTGAGCACAACTGTTGTCGAACTTACAGCAGTCCATTATTATTGCAAGTGGGAAAATTACTTTTTTTTTTTTCTTTTAAAGTATGTGAAGTTAAATATGTTAATGTGTACTGTATAATAGCAGGTATCAAATTTCATGGAAATGTTAAATAAAATTATTTACACTATAGAGACCCTCGACTGAAATGTTCCAATGACAGACAAACTTCTCCTGTTTGTTTTTTAGATCATAAAATTTCCACTTTGAAATGAATCTGGTAAGATCACTTGAATGTTCTTAATATACTATATACACTACAAAGTTGTTACCAACAATCCCTAAAAAACACCTAATGTTCTGCTCAAACTTTACATTAAAATGTATAGTAATCTTAACAGAAACAAATCTATAAATCTTTGAAACAAAAGCTGTTATGTCCCGGGGTTATTATAATTAACTAAAATTATTTTTAAAATATGTTTAAAATAAAATCAACATTAACTGAAACAAAATATATATATATATATATAAAAAATACTTATTTCAGCTAGTTGCCATGGTAATGTTTCTCATTTTTATTTAGTTCAAGTTGAAGTACTAAAACAACTAAATAAACTAAAAACTAAGAGTTCATGAAAACTATAGACATTATTAAAAAAGGAAAAAAATTACAAAAACAAAATTACTAAAACTTTCAATTGAAAAAAGAACACATACAAATACAAAATGTCCTCTTTTATTAGGTTTCACAACTTTATATTAGGTAGTCCACAATAACAGATGTTACAGGGTCAAAACAACCCAATAGCTGGGTTTGTGCCTTTTTAACCCAGCATTTTTTAGAGTGTAAAAATGGTGGATGACATCTTGGCATTCACATGCAGGAATTTAGCATATATACAGTATACATACTGCAAAAAGAGTAGTATGTTAGCATGCTTTTCTGATCATAGCCATGCTTTGAGAATACTCAACTCAATATTTTACCTGCAGAATAAATGAAGACTCAACAGGTTGACACAATAATAGCAGGTTTTGCCTCATAGTGGGAGTATGCAACAATTACCCATCAGCCCCTGGGACGGCACAGTAAATCAAACAGGAAATGCAGCAGAAACCCTAATAAACATATTATGATGTGAGCTTTATTGGAACTGCTCTGTGAAAATAAGTCCTCTGTTCACTAACTCTAGCAGCCCAGCTGTAGGTTTTCTTTCTAGAGATGGAGGCCACAGAAGGTGTGATATGGGGTCAATACTGAGTTCATGTTGCCCATGTACTTTCTTAACACATGTTTCTGGTCTTTTTGTGAAGAATTCATCAGTGCATTGCTGCGTAGTGTCTACTGCCTAAGTGAATCTATCTGACATTTGGTACATTCTATAAATGGCACAGGAAACTCAACTCACAACTGATTTCAATATTACACGCTGATAGGCTATAAATAAAACAAGATTTTAGTTAGACTGAACTATTTTTAACTACACATTTAGGCCATCTGATAAGGACTTTTTCATCACAATGCATTCTGGGATTATGATACCTCCTAAAGGAACGTTCGTACTGTAGGCTATTTACAGTGAAAAGCCAGTGATTTCTGACAACATGAGTGACAGAAGGTAGGGTGACCATACGTCCTCTTTTCCCCAGACATGTCCTCTTTTTGGACCTACAAAAAATGCGTCTGTTTGCCCAAAATGTCCGGGATTCGGCCGTTTTCTTAATCCCGCTCCCGCTGAATCATGTGTAACATATGTTTCGCTCCCGCGATTTTCGTGTCCACTCCTTTAAAGGGGTCATATGATGTTGCTAAAAGGAAAATAATTTGGGTATTTGGTGTAATGAAATGTGTTTATGCGGTTTTAAGGTTAAAAAAACACATTATTTTCCACATACTGTACATTATTATTTCTCCTCTAAGCCCCGCCTTTCTGAAACGCGTCGATTTTTACAAAGCTCATCGGTCTGAAAAGCGAGGTGTGCTGTGATTGGCCAGCTATCCAGTGCGTTGTGATTGGCCGAATACCTCAAGCGTGTGACAGAAATGATAAGCCCCTTGCCATACTGTGATGCCATGTCCGGCTGGAGGAACGACACAAAAACATTAAAACCCATTATAAACGAGGCATTTGTTGCATCCAGTGGGGACATAATTACGGATTATAATGACTTATACTGTCTTTTTACGCGTTGCGTTGCATCGCACCGTGTAAACATAAAACCATGTCTGAATTTGTGATCAGAGAAATGACAAACAACAAGTGCTACTCTACACTGCTCAAAACTTGCGTTTGAATCGTCAGTGGCAAATTCTTTAAATATGAAAAACGTACTTACAGTCTGTGAGTCAGAACAGCCGGCATTGTAGTCTACTCTCCCAGGATCAGGAAACAGTCCTCCGTAACATGCGCTGCACACATCTGAATATTTGGGTTGAAGTGTTCTGGAACAGTGTTGTAAATACAACTTAACCACTGATTTCTAGTCGTGTCCTCTTTCGGAAGACCAAACAAAGTAGTTTCCTGACAGAAGCTGTCTTTAAAGTACTAGGGGTCATATGATGTTGCTAAAAAGAACATTATTTTGTGTATTTGGTGTAATGAAATGTGTTTATGCGGTTTTAAGGTTAAAAAAACACATTATTTTCCACATACTGTACATTATTATTTCTCCTCTAAGCCCCGCCTTTCTGAAACGCGTCGATTTTTACAAAGCTCATCGGTCTGAAAAGCGAGGTGTGCTGTGATTGGCCAGCTAT